AAGAAAAAACAGCCCATTCACGGCATACAATTTTCTCCAAACAGACCTCCTATGTCGATGGTGAACATGGAGGTCTGGATCCCGCCTCAGATGGACACGATGCCTCTGCTATACACGCACGACGTGAAGGAATGTGGATCCATTGCTCCACCGGGTCATTTCGGTTGGTTCGTGCCTGCAGCGTTATCGAGGCTTGGCGACAGTTGGTTAACCTTCGCCAGCCGTGAAACAGCCGCTCGTTTCGACATGGACGAGTTCACGTTGGGCATTGTGAAGAATTTCACCGTGGACCCTGTTACGAAGACCCACTACTGCCAGGAGTCGTTCTGCCATCGTGGAATGTACATTCCTGAACGTTGTCAGGGAAAACCGTGCGCGCTTCTGTTAACCGGTGATCCAATTGTCACCGATTTCGTCAAGGATCACATCGACCAGCTGAATCTCTACGTGAAAGTGGCATGGGTCGGTCCGAATCTGAAGTATCTGACGGAAACTTTGAGCAGAGAGCTGTTGATCGGTCTCAACTCGACGGCACGAGCCGCTGACAGGTATTACTTGGCACATTTCTTAAATGCACGAATCCTACGAACGGGTATAACACACGGTATTTTTTACGTAGATACACACCGACCGAGATATGTTTGCATAATTTTTCTCTCCTGACGCTTCGTGTTTCTATTTAATCTCGTACACGTCGCGAAAAAATACGGCGGTGTAATTGTCGGAGTAAAATGTTGGAGATTTTTTTTCCCCTTTCTTTTAGGAAATTTTGGAATTCTTTTTTTTTTTGCGTGGAGCAGTTCCTAATGTTTTGAGTAATTGCCTTTCGATAAGCATTCTGTGCTTTGCGAAATGAAAATTTACTTTGTTTGAAGTGACTCTTGATTCGTAATTGAGTGAAATGAAAATTTTTCCTGAATTAATGGCTCTTTGGCATAAGTAGCTTAGTATTTTTTTACAGAAAAAACTTACCATTCCGAGAAAACTACTCACGTCAAATTACGTCCACCTCGAAACTATTCAAATTTTATTTTAATTTTGTACTAATCAACATTCCACGTTTATCTCGTTTTATCATCAATAATTTCCAAGATACTCGCGGAGATTTATTTAAATAGGACACTGTACAGTCCTAGTCAAAAGTTTGTCCACCACTTGTCAATTTACACATTACTAAACCTGCTACCATAATCACGTCAACGTCAACACCAATTTACCTCGTCTCCGTTAATTCTAATCCTGAAACATTCCCAAAAAGCTGTTCCCAAAATTTTCACACAACCTGCAACGCACAGTGATCCAAAACTTTCTCACCCGGCAGTACACAATTAACGTGTGCCACAAAAGAAAGAAAAAGAGCGTGTATACACGTTGACTTTGTTTTATGTACACGTGGAGTAGTTAGATATAGAAAAGAACGAGAAAGACGAAGAAACGAAGTCGGAGAAATTCTTTCAATTCGAGGTCAATATTATTCCGCTGATGATCGTGTCGCGCAATAAACGTCGTCCCAGAAATAGAACGAAATCGAAAACATCCTGCACCCGCGAACATTTCACCGACCAGTGCGTTTCTTTTATTACCCGACCGTTCGCTCCAGACTCTGTCCTGTTTTTCTCCACGCGAGCTCGCGAAAAACACGCGTCACTATTTACATCATATTGTTACACACGGAGAAAAGAACAGGAATTTTCTACAGGTCCCTGGTGATCATGCACTGGACACCTAGCACCGTCGTGCCGAACGAGAGGGACTTCTCCACCATCGAGTTCCCTCGTTGCGGCGCCATGAACTCACAGATCGGTTGCAAGTACGAATCGAACAGATTGATCAAACTAGTCTGGGCAAGGTTGGAGTACATTGATAATGTAGCCTTCGAGGCGTTCAATCGCGCGAAATTCACCGGCGAGATGTACGAAGACCTGATCAATCGTCACAACAAACTCTCCGGAAGCGTGAACGAAGAGGAGATCGCTTGCGGTTGGCTCAGGGACAATCTAAACTACACTCTGGATATGTGGACGCCGAGCAACGTGGACAAGAACATTCTCTACGTAGGCGGTATATTCCCGATGAACGAGGCATTCTACTCCGGCAAATCCATCCTGATCGCCTCGAAAATGGCGAAGGAGGCGATCAACGTAAATAACACTCTCCTGAAAAATTACAATCTAACGTTGTTGGTGAACGACGGTCAGTGTAAATCTGACATGGTCATGAGATCGTTCATTGATTACATAGTGCACAATCAGTACGAGAAGTTGGTGGGTGTTCTTGGACCGGCTTGTTCGGAGACCGTGGAACCGTTGGTCGGTGTTTCCAAGCATTACAGGACCGTGGTGATCAGTTACAGCGCGGAAGGATCTAGCTTCAACGATCGTACCAAGTATCCTTACTTCTTCCGCACGATCGGCGAGAACAAGCAGTACAAGCACGTTTATCTGGAGTTGTTGAAGAAGCTTGGATGGAAGAGAGTTGCTTCGTTGACGGAAGATGGGCAGAAATATACGGAGTATATCTCGTACATGCAGGACATTCTGAGGGATAATGGTATCGTGTTCGTGGCGAACGCTAAGTTTCCGAGGGAACGCGAGGCTGACGTGATGACCAAGGTAAGGATCGTTGGAAAATGAGAGACGTCTTTTGCGTTTCGTGAAAGTTGTGTGAGATCTTTGGAGCGTGACACTGTTGGTAGTATCGGGGCCTCTGCACCTAAATAGGAAACCGAGAAGGGAGAATAGAGAGAGCGTAGTTGGCGTAGTGCGCAAACCCTCGGCTTTGTCAACCTAAGGTCCCGGGTTCCATTCCCGTTGGGTTCGTTGAAATTTTTTCCCGTCGATTCCTACAAATGGGGGCTCGTCCGAGATGAGGTATCTTATCTACGGCTACACGAAGCCCCCAGGAGTTATGAGATTTAAACCACGTTGAGGGTTGCACGTCTCCCAAAAAATGCGTTGTTTCGGCTGTTGTGCCACTGTATGCTGGGGGAATGTACCCGAAAGTGTTGAACTTAGGACATTCGAGGGCGAATGTCAGTTCAGCTCCATACCCAAATAGGAAACCGACAAGGGAGGAATAGAGAGCGCAAAGCCCTCGGCTTGCTAAAGCTCTCTCGAAATTTTTCCGTCGGTTTCTACTCTACGATGATTGTTTCGACAGGGACATTATTCATTTCGCGGTGAAGTGTTTTATATTGCTGGCATTAGGCATGCAGAGATTACGGGAAATAACGACGCGTGCATACTTATACGTCGTTACGATAAACGCCGGGTAACGTTATCTATTAGCTCAGCCTTGGGGGGCCTTGGGCAAAACGCCTGTATTTATCGAGGAGATAGTTCTTTTTTCTTCTTCTTCTTGGAAGTGTGTTATCAATGAGTCTTGAAACCACTGTGATTAGAGGGAATTGAACGAATTTAGTGAAATTGATTTTAACCCTGTGCACTTGGAAACGTTGGTTGTGCTTATCGTACGCACTCGTTCTGGGAACTTGGAATGTTCAAGAAAAATTTATTTGCACAATTTGATAAATTATTGGAATTAGCTGTAGTTGTCGATTTGTTGGAGGGAATTCTTGAAATATTGGTTAGGTGTAAAGGGTTAAATTTGTGGACTTTTTGCTTTCTGTGTTTCAAAGAAGTTTCAGATGTCACGTACTGCCTAAGTCTGGATTCTTTGCGTTTCAGTATCTGCAAGATTTCAAGCAGAAGAAAGCGAAGATCATCATCGCTGATGTGTACGATCAGGTAGCTCGGCAGGTGATGTGCGAAGCGTACAGATTGAAAATGACTGCTGTCCAGGTAATAACACGAAAAAGAGTACTTTGCTATTTTACTCGCATAAACCGTAAGTCTTGCGTAGGTACATAAATATTTTAGGTATTTTCTTTTCTTTTGGTTCGATGGAAAAGTGTATATACAAAGCTTTTTGATACATAGTTGAGTTATTAGTATAAGAAAATTCTTGAAAGAGACAATTCAGTCGCGAAAGGGTTAAACCACGAAGCAGATCCTCTAGAGAAACTTAGTAAATTGAAATATAAATTTTCTACTTTAAAATCAGCGAAACCACATGGAATTTTAACGATAAATTTCTCGGTCGGCTGTTAAAGGGCTACGTATGGTTTTTGCCTCTATGGCTACGGCCAGAATGGTACGACACCGATCGATACAACAAGAAGGGAGAACAGGTGCCTTGTACCACGGCAGAAATGAGCAAAGCGGTAAACGGCTACCTCGGCTTATCTCACGCGTATTTCGCCCCCGACGACGATATGATGCAAGAGGGTATAACGGTGAGGCAGTGGCGTGATCGTTACGAGCGTTATTGCCAGGAGAAGAATCAACCACCGTCCAATTACGCTGGTTTCGCTTACGACGCCATGTGGACCTATGCTTACGCTATGGATCGACTTTTCCGCGAGAATCAGAGCTACGTTTTCGATCTTCACAGCGAGCACACTGTCAACCGGTTGACTGACATCATCGGCGAAACGGATTTCTATGGGGTATGCTACAAAAATGTCGCTATTGTTAAATTAAGCATTTACTATCGTTATTAGACAGTTCTTACCAAACAGATTTGACAATTTTCATATATACAGGGTGTCTCGTTTAAATTTAGTATGGAAATTATTTCCGCTGCTATTGAAAGTAAAAGAAAATCACTAGCGATAGGAGAAGTTTATGTAGTTTCAAACTGTGCATCTGACGATGATCAAAAAGTCTCTCCTAGATCATTTTTAATATTATTTCAAGGACATCTTCATTTTTTTTGCATATTGTCATCGTTTTTTGTAGTGTGATTTTGTAGCTGGCATCGAGGAGAGTTCAACGACCTTAAAGTGCTCTTTAAACAGTAAAAAAAAATGTCAACCTTGACTTTCATTGAAGATGATTTTTCCTGCGTCTTCAAATCATTTCTTAGTAATTTTTTCTTGCTTTCACAGTGCTAATACAAATAATTAAGTACGTACAATACATAAATTTTTGTTTACGTGGACGACACCCTAACTTACAGTAGACATTATATTTTTGCACACGGGAAAATTAACGATCGATTTCAGGTGTCTGGGAGGATCAAATTCTTCGGCGGTCCTTCGAGGCTCTCGGTCATCAACATCGTCCAGCACGTGAACAACGAAACCCGACTGGTCGGTAATTTCTACCCCAACATTTCAGAAACGAAGCACGAGGTCGTCGGTGGTAGATTAGACTTGAACGTCTCAGCCATTGTCTGGTTATCGCGTACTATGCCAGACGATGGCTCTGAACCACCTCAGCGATGTGTTATCGCTGGTTTCGCTGATTTCTTGAACGTAACGTGCGAAGTCGCGTTCGTAATCGTCAACATTCTCGGCATTTTCCTGTTTGTAGTGATACTGATCATCGGTTTCATCATCGTCAAGAGAAAGTGAGTAATCGAAACGTCGTAGAAATTTACAAATTATTTAGACCTTTGAAATTCAGGGATCTTTATTTCTGGAAGCATCTGACGTTGTTTGTGCCTATTTCCAACAGATACGAAGAGAAGGTACGTCAACACGAGAAGTACATCAAGAGTCTAGGCTTAGACTTCGCACACGCAGACACTTCTGACCTGGACAAATGGGAGATCCCGAAAGACAGAGTGGTTATCAATCGTAAAATAGGCGAGGGTGCTTTTGGAACTGTGTACGGTGGTGAAGCGTTGTTCCCTGACAAAGGATGGCTCGCTGTGGCTGTGAAAATGCTGAAAGTTGGAAGCTCCACCGAGGAAAAATTAGACTTCTTGAGCGAGGTAGAGGTGATGAAGAGGTTCGAGCATAAGAACATCATCAGACTGTTAGGCGTGTGCATAAAGAACGAACCTGTGTTAACCGTTATGGAGTTTATGCTTTACGGAGACTTGAAGACTTATCTTCTGGCAAGAAGACATCTCGTAAACGATCACAGTTACGAAGACTCGGACGAGATATCTAATAAAAAATTGACTGCTATGGCGCTCGATGTGGCCAGAGCACTCAGTTACCTGGCTCAAATGAAGTATGTTCATAGGTAAGCTGAAAATTATCGAAAGGAGAAATTTCAGTGGATCTGACTTTTTCGGATGCTGAGAAAAATATTGCTGTGCTTTTGTTTCTCAGAGACGTTGCATCTCGTAACTGCTTGGTTAACGCTCAACGCATAGTGAAACTCGGTGATTTCGGTATGACCAGGCCGATGTACGAGAACGACTACTATAAGTTCAATAGAAAAGGTAGAACTCAGCAATCGACAGCACGAATCGTTGATCATTGTCATTGGGAATTTTAAATATAATAATTCGTTGATCCAGGCATGCTACCAGTGAGATGGATGGCTCCAGAATCTCTGGGTCTAGGTGTCTTTACTCCAGCCTCCGACGTCTGGTCCTATGGTGTTCTGCTTTACGAAATCGTCACCTTTGGTAGCTTTCCCTTCCAAGGAATGAGCAACAACGAGGTGCTGACTCACGTCAAGGCTGGACACTCGTTGAGAGTTCCCAAAGGAGTGAAGCTACAACTGTAAGATTAACCCTATCCTCGTTATGCTTTGTTCTGTTTTACGAGTGCAAAAATTCTGTCGGTTTTTGTGTTATCTACTACCACTCTGCGCTGGAATGACGAGCCACACACGTCGAGATGTTTTGTCCCAGAATTGCCAACGTATTAGATTATCTTCTTTTTCATTTATAAGAAAATTTCTCGTCTTGTTGCATTACATATCCCAGATCACTCTGCACAAAATTAGGGTACATGTCTGTGTAAAGTAGACAAAATTTTCCGCGCGGGAAATTTAAAGGAGGATGTTAAAGAAAGGCCAATTTTGGCATACGGCCGGAACGAAAAATTTTTTTACAGCATGATTCTACGCATCCTGAGCAACGAAAAATGTAATTGTCATGTTTCCCGGAAATGATGGGAAAGTTATGAGAAATGCGGTTCAAGGTAAGAGTATGACTCGGATGATGGTCTGTTCGTAAATTAACCACTTAGAAACCCATATTGTACATTAGTGTTTAATAAAAAGCAAAAATAATGAAAAATAATTAATGACAAATTAATCGAAACAAGGAATTCTTTGATGACACATTTATTCTCGAAGTGATAAAAGTTATAATAAACTATCGTAAATATAATAAAATAATCGTCATGACAGGGATACAATAAAAAAGTAAGACTCTGACAGAATTTGCATTTCTTAACTGTGTATCCGGTGATTTCATTTCTCCACTAATTTTTTTTCTTGACTTTTTTCACTCGCACGAGAGTTCTGCCAAGAATACGAAACTGCCTCGTGTTTACAATGCAACTGTTTATTCGAGTCGTAACTCTCAGAGAGTTGAGCAATGCTCTCAGACAGCGAGAGATACTCTCGAGAGCAACTCGTGATAGTTTTACTCTGAAAAGGACAGCTAGCTTTATGTTTGGCTCGATGTACGTACAGCGACCTAGGCTCGCGTTTCTTATGTTTGGCTCGCGAGCAATATAACGAGTTCTAAGAAGTTAAGGCCTAAAATTTTTCCAAGAACAGTTGCGAGCGTATAGCGATCGGAAATCGGGCAGGACGACTCGTCCTCAGTCGGGTGATTTCATTTCTCCACTAATTTTTTTTCTTGACTTTTTTCACTCGCACGAGAGTTCTGCCAAGAATACGAAACTGCCTCGTGTTTACAATGCAACTGTTTATTCGAGTCGTAACTCTCAGAGAGTTGAGCAATGCTCTCAGACAGCGAGAGATACTCTCGAGAGCAACTCGCGATAGTTTTACTCTGAAAAGGACAGCTAGCTTTATGTTTGGCTCGATGTACGTACAGCGACCCAGG